GACAGCATGGTCATGTGATCACACGAAAAATAAGGCACTATATTTTGGGAATGAAAGCAGCACAAACACTACTTTCAATGGCACAAACTGGCACAAACGTAGCACTAACGAATGAGGTGGGTTTCATCGTTTATGCTGTCTGTAGGGGCACCAACTTCACAGATCTTAAACTTTGTAGCTCCATGCCAGAAAAATCGAAAGACAGATCTTTTTCAGAGATGATGTAGCTGTGTTGCTGCTTTCAATGTACTTTTTCCACATTGGGTATTATCCTGTCCCTCTGTCAGCCTACACTGTAAAGTCATCCCACAAGTTCACCAGAGAGTATCATTTTCAGCTTCATTTCAGCTGTGAACATATACAATTCCACTTCTTTTTAAATTGTTTCCTCATTATAAAAGAGTAAATACTCTTACAAAACTCTACTGTATTTTTTTATATTTTTTTCTGGCAATTGTAAACATCTTTCTTCAGTCACTACCCTTTGTGTGGTTTCATGAAGCTTTTATAACATGTCTTATGTAAAGTGTTAAAGGTGTCTTTACAGTATTCCGAAGTGTGAATTCTGTGAAAGGTGTGTTCCACTGTGTTGTTGGGTGGCGTAGAGGGCCCAACGCTTGTTTGTGCTGTACTAAGTGGGTGAAGAGCTGAGGAGGTTGCCTGAAACATCTGTTCTCATATGGTGTTAAACCACGTGCATTTCAGTATGGTGTTCTGGGTTTATATCAGGTTTTGCTATGAGAACAGAAATCTATTTAAACTCTACTGAATATACTGCACTGTGACAATACTGTGATACGCTGTGGTGAGCCTCCATATGATTAATAGTGGACTATCTCTGCACATATACTTTGTCAGCGACTTTGTATTATAAATTAACCCCACACAAGGTGCCTGCGGTCTAGTGTGTGCCACCAGCTTAATCTCACAGCCGTGCCCTGAAAAACACGAGGAGTGATGAAATATCTGACCACTTGTATATTTTCATAAGTACAACTCTAACACCACACTAATGTATTCCTGGCTCTCAGAAGGCTGGCAGACTGTTTTCTTTTCAGTAAAGCCCTGAAGTTCTATGTTAACAGCAATATTGGGACTTTGGATTCCTGCTTGGAAAATCCTGCTTTGATCATCTTCCCCCTCCACCTACTGGAGAATAAACACTGATGGTATAAATATATAATACTGATGATACACAGGCTTACCATGAATACTCAGACCATTCTAGAAATCATGCTTATTTGCTAAAACATCCACAGAACAATAATGTCCCAATGTTTACTCTTGCATAATGATTGGGCTTTTAGCAAAATGATTTGAATTAACTGAAAGACAAATGTGAGGAAAAGGATTCTTAGCTGTATTTAATACAGAAAAGTGCTTTATCATATACTATGAATTATTCTTGATGTCTTAAGTTATTTTATAATAATTATCATTAATTCATATTATAAATAATTTATTTAACAAGGTAAGCCAATTGAGCACAAATCTTACTTTGCAGTGGCAATATGGGGAATACTTCACTTTAATACTTCATCCATCCTTTTTCTAACTGCTTCTTCCAATTCAGGGTTGAGGGAGAGCAGGTGATTGTCCCAGCAAGCAGTGGGCTCAAGGCAGGACACACACACAGGCACACACACACTCACAACAGGGCCAGTTTTCCCAGAAGCCAGTTAACCTACCAGTATGTTTTTGGACTGTGGGAGGAAAGCACCAGCCTCACTGTAATACAGTTCGTTACAGCGCAGTGATAACAGAGAGGACCAGAAAGTAAATGCAGTGGACGACTCTGCACACACTGACAGTGCGACAGCTCGCCCACAGGGCTGGAGGTGAAAGAGGTTCACTCCCTTCCCCTCTCAACCAGCTCTCTTTCTCCTGCTCCTGTGGGGTGTCTATTTCTCTCACTTCTCATCCCTGTTGTTATCCTTGTACAGCACACGAGAACCGAATCTGTGAAAACTCAGGGGCCCACGGAGATTTATTGTGTTATTTAACGTTTCTTTAAAATTCTCGCATTACCCTCACATACAGGCATTACTCTTATAACAAGTCTACACATAGTGCACACCTAACGCTTTTTACTGATGGAAACTAAAGTGTAACCCGAGATGCACTGCTACATAGACCTGTAACTCTCGTAACTCTCTAACACAATAACTCTAAGCTGTGCACCTCATTCTTGTACATTTAAGTACGCTTGGCTTCTTCTGAAAACATACTGTTAATTACAATTTTCATTATTTCATTCTTATCACCTAGTTGACTGTTTCACACTGTCATTTTTCCATTATGTGTTGATTTTTTCATAATTCTTTGTACATCCTTTTCATCTCAATGCTCATTAGTCTAAATAAAACATGGTTTCCTTTCTTTTCTTTATCTTTTACTGTTGCAGCATTATTTCCTACCACCACTCCTCCAGCTCCTCTGCTCCAAAAACCTTTGTAATTTATTTTTTTTTAAAGGGCATGTATCTCTCATCTTTATTTGTGTATTTTAGACTGCAAGTCACAGAACGTGCTGTTAATAACATGTTCTTTGACACCATTCCTTTTTCATTTAACTTTCGTTCCAAACTGATAAGCTCTTGCAGATCTTAACTCCTGTATGGCATCATACAATTTGCTCCTGCTTTTAGAACCTGCGTCAAACTACCGATCCTATCTTCAGGGTTTTTTATGATTTTATCCTTTACTTTGCCATTTTTCTGTAATAACTAATCTGTAATCTGCTTTTCAAAATTCTAGTTATTTTGGTAGATTTGTTAATATTTGTTTTAGTCTATCCTCAGATTCTTTGACCCTTTACTTACTGTTTTTTATGTTATACTGTATTTCATGATCTATTTGTTATTAGCAGCTAGAAAATGTGAAAATGACGTTTGTCTTGAGTAACATCACCCAGACACGGGTTAACACCTTCCTCTTATTCCCTTTCATATTTGCCTATTTAAACCTTAGACAAGTCTTGTGTTGGATCTGATCTCAGTGGGTCTTTAGACAGACTCAACAGACAATAACTACATCAAGATTGCTGAGCAGTCCTAAGCACTCGCTTTAACCATATATGGCAGTTACTTTTAGTGTACATTTTCACAGTGACCCTTTATTTTACCTGGTAACACGGCTACATGGGTACTGTTGCCTTGGCAACCTTGGCTCCTGCTTCCCATTATTCCAGAGCTGTGCAAACGTAGATAATTTCTAAGAACATTTGTTAAATAAACAACTTAAAATACTGATACGCACAGCTACTGTATAACAAAAGGTAAAACTCAACTCACCATCTTTGTTTGCACAAAATATTAATCCCAGTCAAACACACATAAAACTCTTCCTCTTCTTTCCTGGCTCTTCAGAATGCTCTTTATTTACTAATGCTATAATCTTCACCATTGCTCTGTTAACTTTGTTTCTATGATTTCAAGTATATCATAACTGAGTACTTATGCAAATCCTTCTATTTCATGCATATTGTCACCAATACACCTTACATTTAGGTACTGCATAAGCACTTAATTATATTTTCCTGAGAAATTAGTTTTTCCCCTTGAGTCTTCTTTTTTAATTTAGTCTCTATGTTCTTCTGTTGTAGTTTTTCTCTGAATTCAATTCTCCCCCTTCCATCTTGGTCTAAGTGTTATTTTGGGATTTTTCCTGTAGACCCCTGCCCCAAGACAGTGTTACCACTGTAGACCCCCCCCCAACACACACACACACACACACACACACTTTCACCCTCCCTTCCCTCTCTAAAACACATGGAGACTGACGAGCGCCTTGTATAGTGCTAGTACATGCTATGTTTCAAAACAACCTCAGTGAGTAGTAATTTCTGCATGGATTACAGGCAATAAAACTCTCTCTCATTAGAAACCTGCCTCGTTAGGTTTAGGTTTAGATCCATACTGGTTAATCCAAACTGCAGTTTTTCCTTCTTCTTCAGCCATTCTATTATAGATCTGTTGTAGATCAGCTTGTATGTTTAGGATCATTGACTTGCTGCTGTCGTGGCCCACTTCTGGCCATTCATTCATGAGCAGCAGCTCATGAATGAATGGCCTGACACCCTCCTCCTGGAGTTCCTGACACAACGCCAGATTCATGGTTCCCTCAGTGATGGCAAGCAAAGCAGCCCCAAACCATGATACTCCCCAACTAGTTGATCTTGGCAGGAAGACTGATCCTGGGTAGAGCCACCGTGGTCTCGAATAATTTATTTTTGTTAATTTTCTGTCTGACAGTGCATGTATAGAGCCCAAAATGTTTAAACATAGTCTGTAACCCTCTCTAAATAAAAAAAGTAAGATCATTTTGTACCTCTCTTCTGTTTATTTGCACAGTTTATTTTCAGGTGTGGTGTGTAGCTGTTTGCTTACAGTGAAACAGCTGCTTTTAAATAAATATATTTTATTTATCTCTAGGCTCTCCCTGTGGAGTTCCTCTGAATACTGTTTTGGTCATGATGTGACATGTTCTCACTAACCTTTATGGTGAAGACCAAATTTAACAAAATTTAAAACCATTATATGGAACAAGGCTACCCAAACACAGTCCTTGTTTATCAAATTGTTTTACTAGCTGATTCTAATTACCCCATTAATTGTAAACCATGTGTTGACTTTAGTATTTCACATTTATTCTTAATTATTCATTTTTTCTACTTTATAGACCATTGAGTCTCAAAAAATGTACAAATCATTTTATTATTTATTTTTATTATTTTAGAAAAAAAATCATTTAAACAAGGGTGTCATGGTAAAACATTGTTATTCCTATAATGATATTGGCCATTCAAATAATTTTATCTCTGCACTGTATTGTGGGGCACAGATGCTGGTGACAATTTCTTTCTGAGAAATCAAGGGAAACAAAATTCATAAATCTTTGCTGATTATATTTTCTGATTTTATCAAAATTATTTTCAAAATAGCACAGACAAAAGAAATGCTGATCTTTTTTTTTGGTTCATTTTTCTTTTTTAACTTTCAGGTTACTTACAGAGCCCAGCAAAACATGACCAAGCATGCCATTGGCAAGATGATTGCAGTGTGGGTACTGGCATTCCTTTTGTATGGCCCAGCCATCATCTTCTGGGAGTTTGTGGTGGGGAACAGCATAGTTCCCGATGATGAGTGCTTTGCAGAGTTCTATTACACCTGGTATTTTCTACTTTGTGCTTCAACTTTCGAGTTCTTTTCTCCATTTATCTCTGTGGCCTATTTCAACTTGAGCATCTACCTAAATATACAAAAACGGAACAGGAGCAGAATCAACCAGATGAAGGAAAGGAACAGTCATCTGCCTGCCAGGAGAGCTGAAGAGCAGTTGACTTCGGTGTTCTTTGTGAAAACCCGTAAAACGTCTTCAGGTGATCGAGCGGTCAGGACGGAGGTGATCGAAGATGATGCATCACCTTCCTCCAGCTGCCCAAGCAACGCTTCCCTTGTGTTAAAAAAGAAGGCGACAACCAGCAACCTGACATGCATGAATGTCAATCCCTCCTCATCTGAGAGGAGACTGGACAACAAAATCACTCAGCATTCCCGGCTCTCTAGAGATAAGAAAATTGCCAAGTCACTGGCTATCATCGTGTGCATTTTTGGGATCTGCTGGGCACCTTATACGCTGTTGATGATCATCAGAGCAGCCTGCAGTGGCAGCTGTGTTGAGCACCACTGGTATGAAATCACATTTTGGCTCCTATGGTTAAATTCTGCTATTAACCCATTTTTGTATCCTCTCTGCCACAGCAGTTTTAGAAGAGCCTTTGCTAGGATACTGTGCCCAAAAAGAATGTCAATACAGCCTGAGACTGAGACTAATTCTTGCCAGTGATGGTAAACCATGTGGGATATCAAAGCAGTCTGGTAACGAAATGCTTGTCAAATATAGAAAATCTTTTTTCTATGGATGTTCCAAGTGAGAAATGTAGCCGATTTGGACCTTGGACCAACAGCATTGCATTTTGAGGAACTAAAGCAGAGAAAAAAATACTAGGTGAAAGGTTATTTATAGTTTTTTCACAGTTTGCATATTGCTTTGCAGTGTGTCTACTGTATATGTATTAAAATAATTGTACTGTATGTTGTCTGTATGTTTGGAAAAGAAATGCTTTATCTTTTATTTAAAGGTTTACATAGAAGAGCTGTTGACTTTTGTGGAATCACTTGAAACAATGGCAGTATTTGTTTCAGTTTTCTTATCTTTTTGACCACATTGTCTTTCAATGTACTGTATTTCAGATAAGAATGAAAGAAGAAAATACAGTGACTTTTATTATATTTGCATGCTTGATTGTGAAATGATGTAAATATATTTAATGTTTTTATGCATTGGTTTATTTTTTATTTGCATTTTATAAGAACAGGAAGCATTCGAGATAATAAGAATGTTTAATATGGATAACTTCATTTGCCGTGTTCTGTTTTTGTTTGTTTTTTAAATAACCACGTATGGTAAATAAATCTGTCTCTGTTCTCAAAGAAGAAAGGGAACAGAAACGCAACTCATCCTGAAGTTCACCAAGTTCACTAAGTTCACACCTTCCCCCTTCTCTCAATAACAGACATGTTTACGTGTAATCTTCTCTATTCTCATGCAGGTTTTGACTTCACACCTTTCCCACCCCTCTCCACTTTGCACTTCCTGAGTGGCCTCTCCCCTCTCCCTCTTCCTCTACTTTTCCAACTTCTCCTGTGCTATATAATCTTTGCTGTCTGCCCTGTCTTTTTAACACCCAAAGAAGGTTCTCTCTTCTCTTTTCATCATGGAATAAACCTATTACTAGTTATTTTGCAGTGTACTTACAGTATGCTGATGCAGCTACCCACCTGAACCACTGCTAACTAAAGTGTACAACTTTAAATAAATCTGGGCCTGCAGGCAAACGTGGCCTTCCCTTATGATAAACTGGGTACAAAGGTGTACAGAATAATAATAACCATCACAGTAATTTAGGAAAATGTGAAACAGCTGAAGTACAGTTAAAGGGTCAAGAACGTGACCAATCAGCCTCATCCAGGTACAGTACATTGCAGGCAGTGTAACTGTACATGTTAAACATTGTGACTCCCAAGTAGTGCCAGAGAGACAGTATCTGTAGCCCATGAGTTTGGACAATTAACGAAAACATATCTGGAAAAACCCTGCTTTAGTTACCACAATTGCAGTGTTCAATATGAACAATTACGCTATGGTTAATTTCGTATTTCATCTTAAGTATACAAAGTATACAGGGAGCTTAAGTTGTGGGGTCACAGGGTTAGAGATCTCATCTTGTTTGTTGCATTACATTTATGTTTAAATTTGCTGAAGTTTATTTTTCATTTCCCCTGCACCTGGAGAAGACAATCTTAGACTTAAAGCTCTCAGTTCTTGGAGGCTTTAGAGACATCTTTCAGTTACCACCTGATGAAGACCAGGACAGAAATCTGATATGACTTCTTATTCATTTAATCCTTTCACAGTTAAAGGTCTGAGGTGGAATGAAAGCCAAAAAAAAGAGCACCTGAGGACCAGAGTTGCCTAACCCTGACTTACACTTATTTAAAGAAACAGCTCTATCTGAGTAATGAACAAGACCAGTAGGCATTAACGCTCTTCAAGTGTCACATTGCTTTCTGGTTTTCATTAATGACTTAATTGAGCCACTTAGGTGAATAAGAAGCCTATTCAGTTGCTTTCCAGGTCTCAGTTAGGTGCTGATTGAAAAGTGCTTCAATGCAGGACCCCAGCACCCAAGGTGCTGTCTAGCCCTGTTCTGGACGGTCGTACTCAACCCCAGTCTTGGAGAGCAGCAGTGCCTAGCTGTTAATGAACTAACTGATCTAATCATAAGCCTAACTGGAACCATGCAACTGTCTTCAAAGGTCTTTGGCTGTTCAGGAATTAAAGCATGGGTCTCAAACTCAGTCTCTCCTGGGCCTTGTGTTATTTTCTAAATTGGACATATAGAGGATTTTTATTAAGGTCCTTACAATTGATTGCACAATACGTTCACTTCATTAAAAGTACATTTTCCTACACATTACCTTGGATTATAATAATACATCTTATTAAATAATTAGACCTTGAATGTAACTGGCAACATGGCTGGAACAACAATGAGTAGACTGAGTTCCCTGATTTTAAGAGACCCAGAAAACCTGCTGAACCTGCTGAACCTCTGTCAGGCTAGGGCTGGAGTTGTGCACTTATAGTATGATCTAATATGAGCCTGGTTAAGCAACAAAAGACACCATGGAGCCTTGATATAGGAAGCTCTATGCTGGATATAAATGCAAATACAATTAACTCTGTAATTATAATTAAACCAGGCGCCCATCATGGTGTTAGTGATTGAACAACAATCTCAGTCCTTTACTTGGTTAAAAATTACAGTGGAGTTATGGACAGCTACTGTAATGTGTATGTTTTTATTGTTAATGTATTTATTTTAACTCTAATTTGCTATGTAAGTATTGTGATGTGTCCATCTCATACCATGTAATATTACTCTGTAAAGCAAATTGAAAGCCTATCATGCAGAGGAAGTACATTAAATAAATCTGATGATAGAATAACTGTAATTTTTAAATCTTGCTAGTGGTTCTTTTCAATAGCAAGTGCAAGATCTACACTTACTTCAGATCAGTAAACCAGATCCACATTCGTCCAAAGGTAAGAAGGAAGTTGCCGAAGGTCTTCTTTTCACTCACTGCATGGAAGACAGATTTTATATCTTCATTCATGAAGATTTCAGTTTGTATCACAAGCTGAAAATAAGGCAATTCATAGCTATACACACGGAACAATGCCCATGAAAAATAGAAACGATTTTTAGATCAATAGTTTTGTGCAGGGAGATCCATTAATTCCATTTATGTCACCAATTTATTTTTCTAGTTAGGTTTAATTTCAAGGCCAATACATTCGTTTTAGTCTCTTTACTGCACGGATACTTAATAATTGAAAAGTCTACTTTCTGCAAACATTTAAATTGAGTATTTTCAGACTGAATAAAATTGTCTCTTTTCATGAAAAACTCTGAGCTCTGAAATAATTCTCAGATGAATGTCAGGTGATGTTTTGAATCATCAACGTTAAAGTGCAAAAGAATGTTAAAAAAATTAAAACCCACTCTGAGAGGTGTTTAATAAAACAAAATCCAATTTACATCTGAATTTTCACGGGCCGCTTACACATCGTACAAGTACCTGGAATTGCATATTTTTTAGGAAGAAAATACTCTCGAGAAAAGATTAAAGATTATTTTTATTGAAGCATATTATAACTAAAAAAAAGAATAGCTTTTTTTTGGTCTACTGTCCCATGATATGGAATTGCAAACTATCTGTGAAATCTCTGAGAACTGCAGAGTCAGGCTGTCCCTCTCCAGCGCAGGGGCAGGACACGGGAAGCTCACTGCTGTCAGGGACATCACAGCCATAGGTGTAGGTAGGTGGCTCTTTGCATGAGCAAGAGATACCCTGGCCAGTTTCATCTCACTCAATTTAAATTGATTCTTCATTTTTATTAACACAATCATGGATATCATCCTTCAGTGGAATACATATTGAGTATAGTGTATACTGTATATTGACATACTCTATATCATTTCTAGGAAATGACAGAATTACTACTGTATAATTTATCTAGCATATGAAGGTTCTTTTAGGCGAGACAGTTGTTTGTGAAGATTTCTCTAGGTTTTCTTTGCAATTTATCTCTCTAGGAAGATTGCTCAGAATAACACCTCATCCCAATGTGGATTACTTTCACTATTAATGAGCTACTGCTCAAATAAAGGGAAGCTGTTTTGATATTACTTCCAATGTAATTCAAATAGCTTCAAAGACAACATTTTTAGATCTTACACATATTTTAAAGAAATCATACCTATCTGGCACTATGGATTAAAGCATGATAGGGTAAGAAAATATCAATGGTCGGAATTGTCAAAGAACTAAACATCATCTAACATTCAAATCAGCTGTCTTTCCCTAGCAATCAGTTAACTAAACAAAAGAAAGTAGACTGCTTAAATTAAATCTGATTTGCAAATCACAACATTTAGCCTTGAATTAAATAGTTTAAATTTTTTGTTATAATTACCCATAATTCATAATTTGGTCATAAATTTGTGACTCGGTTGAGAAACGTTGCTGCACTTTGATTTTTGTTTTTAATGTTCATAATGTAGTTAAGCAGTTCAAAAGGAAAGCTTATCTGCGGCGATCCAAAACATTCTGACATTTAAAAGCCCCATAGAGAGAAGAACTTTTCTTAATTAGTATATTAGAAACAGCCTGAACGTTAACAACAGAGCTTCGTTTCTACTGTTCAAAATTATTGGAATATTATTATTTCTCTTTTCAAAGTATTAGAACATTTTCAGCTTGACTGTTTTTTATAAATCTCTATTTACTGTATAATAATAATGGGAAGCTGGAGTTTGTATAAAAAATAATAATTTCTCAACCAGTTCCATTTGAACCATACAGGAGTGATGGTTCATTACTCTGTATAAATAATCAATCCCTTCTCTGTGCTGAAAAAATACAACAGATATAACTATTAAAGGTTTTAAATATGGAAAAACAATTAACTACATTTCTTTGCATGCGGGTGATAATCGACATTCTGTGATAGATCTTTCTACTTCATTAAAAGCTCTCCGTTGTCTTATACAGAACTTTCTTTAATTATGAAAACAAATTATTATCCAGAAGAAAATTTGGTATAAGAATAAAACAATAGCAGAATACAAAACTGCTTCAACTGCAATATACTGTACACACACACACCCATAGAATGTACACCAAGCATATGCAATATTATGCTAACATGCAGCACAGCAATATTACTCAAACACAATAATTTAATGGCTCAACAGACGAATTTAAGTTTGACAAAATTCTATTGGGAAACAAATTACGGGGATCAGTCCAAGTCGTTGTCTAACAGGAAAGTTTTAAACAGAGACAAAGAAAGGAAATACACTGGGGAAATCTGAAGGCCATAATAAAAAACTAAGAGATTCTTTGAGAGCACAAAAGAAACAGTCTTGAGACTCTGAGACACAGAGACTTTTTTTCTCTCTCTGGGGCCTGGATGGCGCACAGTGCACAGCTTGATAATTGGACGGACGCACAGCTTGGTAATTGTATTCCAAAACTGAGCTGGTTGTTCTTTGGTCAAAAGTTGTAACCAAACGTTATTGAATCTCACTCACTTGTTTCATATTCATAGTTTTTGGTTTGGGGAATGTCAACAACCGAGAAGTTCAGATATAGATAGTAGAAATGCTCTGATGACACCCCAGGTAGGGTTAGGGTTAGCATTCACACACTACTTAGAAACTCAGTGGGGCCTGGATGTCATGGTGCACCACGCGGCAGTTGAACTGAGTCAGTCGGATCATACGAGTACCCAAACATTATTGAAACTCATTCAAATGCAAGTGCTTCTATCCATGGTCTTGATTGTTTCCCACTTATTCCTTTTGGTTTGGGGAACATGTCAAAATCCTATGCCCAGAGAACTTCAGATAGAGTTCGCAGAAATGCTCAGTGGACACCCAAGGTTGGGTAAGAATCAGCATTTACACACTACTTAGACAATTCTTAATCTCCGGGTTGGATTTTGGGGCCCAAGTCAGTTTTAGAATGAGTGGTTTCTTGATCCTAGCTGACATTGTTTTTTTCAGAAACTCTCTCTGGCCTGGGTGGCACATTGCACCATGTGATAGTTGAATCCCGAAACTGAGCCCATGGGATCAAAATTTATCACCAAGCATTATTGAATCTCATTTAATTACAAGAGATTTGTTCAGAGATCTTGATTGTGTCCCCCTCCTATCTTTAGGTTTGGTGAACGTTAATGTTAATGTTAAAATCCCATGCACAGGGAGACTAAGATACCTATCGCGAGACCACAGGGAGGGTTAGGGTTAGCATTCATGCACTACGTAGACAATTTCTAAGTCAGGTTAAGGATGAGTGGTTTTTTGCTCCTATCTGAATGTTTTTGAAACAAATTCTCTCTCTCACTCCTGCCCTCCTCCCCCGCACAGGCTCCGAATCAGCCCCACTGGTATTTGACAGGCAAACTGAGAAGAAAAAGAATCATGTGACTCTTGATTATCTCTGTCCAACCAGCCACCGAACCATCTTAACCTCAAGTAGCTGCCAGATTGAGTGAGACTACTGTATATAAACCAGAAGTCTGACCGAGATGCCCTCTGCAACACAAGACGTTTTGTATGAGCTCTCTGATTAATGAAACAATACAGTTGGACTTTTGTTGACACCGCTGATATCAATAGATATTCAGCATAGCATCTACAGTACAACCTTGGGTGTGCAGACTTCCAATTCTCCACTCATATACGTAAGTATCAATCTTCAACTGTACCAGAGACTCTTTGCATGTTCACTGAAAAGTGAAATTGAATTGTTTCCTTTTCCTGTGTTATAGAACAATTTTGGCATGGAGCCAGCTGACAATTTTGTTTGGACAAGGTTGAAAACAGATACAGCATTCCACAACTCATCTTATTATAACAAGTGCTTGACCGACATCCACACATTCAATGTTCAGATTGTAACAGTTGAGAATTTAGTCATTATTCCAAAGCAGTGTGATTAATGACAGGAATTAAATCTTTAAAAAAATTAATAAAATATGATCTGTTATATAAGAGTTATAGTCTATGCATGTTTATCCTGTTGTCCTATCTATATTATTATAATTATATATTAACCTTTTATTGGTTTATTTTGCACTTTTGTTATTGTATTAATAGAAATTGTACAATGTGCATACTGTACATGACAATGTATTTCTATTTGTAATGATTGATTAGTAAACAATTTCAAATTGTTACAGTAAATAAAAACCTTCATTATTACACCCATATTAAGGATCTACTTGAGGATCACTTGAATGCTTCTTTATAGCATTTACACCACACCTAATGAATTGTTTGCAATAATTGCCTATAAATATATCCTTTTGTCACCAGGTTATTTAAAAAAATAGTTTGACAGCAATAGCTCATCTTGTGAACAACTTCTTATTCAATTTTATTCCATTCATTAATGAATTTGCATTTTCTAAGTGCGCTTAGAAAGAATCCCTAAACACTTTGCATATACAGTAGGAGGGGCCCACTTCATCGACGACTAATGTGCATCATCCACCTGGGTGATATGTGGCAATTATGTGTTAACAGCCCCAGAACACAAAAGGTCAGGTACCTGTAGAGAATTCAGAAATTACTTTACCTATAGAATTAAGCGGAAAGCTTAGGCAGGTGAGATTGTTCAAGCTATATTGATGTTTAACCAGGACATGTTAAAGCCCATAGTGGAAAAGGATCTTCATTAACCAACTAGTCAAGATCTTGGACTAACATCTCTCCAAAGGACAGTACCTTCTTCAGCACAGTGTCCCTAGTCTCTGTACTAAGGCATTGATTTACAATTGCTGGTCCAAAGGAAAGACTGATTATTAGTCCATCAACACCACTTACAGCAGCAATTAGGTCTCCCATTCCAGTACATGCGGGGCCCAGACTTGTTTAGCTTCTGAAATCTCATGAGGTCAGGCTCATCCTGTATATTGCCTGACATTACATAAATCTGAACACATTTAGCATTTAAAATATACCATTTTCATTTTAGTGCCAATTTCACTTTTATATAGTTTTTATTCACACAATGGCACCAGATCAAATATCATTACCTTTAGAGAGACCCTGGAGTTTTTGTTCCAATAAGCTCTAGTAATGCTGGTAATATGGTGATTCATTTCCTCAGATGTTGAGGAATTCAAGCACCATGGTTAATATAATATAAATCCAATCTTGTGCAATCACAGGTGAGGATGTCTATATAATTTCCTTTGCAATAACAGTGTTTCTCTTTTTCAATAGTAGTTGCTCCAAATAGAATTGCAATATCATCTTATATCTAGAAAGAAGATAACAGAAACAATGTTGCTAGGTTACCCATAACTTGAAAGTATTGTAATATCAATGCATTACAAACAGTACAAATTTTGCACAAATCATTTTTAAAGATTAAATAGAAGAAAAAATATATTTCACTGAGAAAGTAGGTGGACTACAGTTGTAGTGACAGCATAGCTTCTTTGGAAGAATAATATAAACAACAGAGCTGAATCCTGACTCTTTGGCATAATTATTTGCTTTCATAATAATAATAATACTACTAATAATAATAATAATTTCAGACATTTGCCCTAGCCAGCAGCTATATCACCCTGCAGTTCTCAACTAGGAAAGGCCCCTGAAACAAAGTAGGGTTGAGCCTGGTCAGTACCTGGATGGGAGACCTCCTGGAAAGCTATGGCTGCTGCTGGAAGTGGTGTTAGTGGGGCCAGCAGAGGGTGCTCACCCTGTGGTATGTGTGGGTCCTAATGTCCCAGTATAGTGGCATTAAAACTATACTGTTGTGGGCGCCATCTTTCGGATGAGACATTAAACCGAGGTCCTGACTGTCGGTGGTCATTAAAGATCCTCAGGGATTTCTCGATAAGAGTAGGGAGTAATCCTGGTGTCTGGGCCAAATTTCCCACCTCGGCCTTTACCATGGCCTCCAAACAGTCCCCATGTATGACTGGCTTGCACTGGCCCTGTGATGGACTGGTGCCCTGTCCAGGGTGAACCCTGCCTTGCGCTTGTTGCTTGTCGGGTAGGCTCCAGCTTCCCGCCACACCGTATGGTATAAAGCGGTTTGGCAAATGACATGACATGATATTTCCTCCAATTCCTCTGACATTTCATAAGGATAAAAATGATCCTACAAGAGTTTATTTTAAAAGATTTAGAATGCAGCTCACATTTTCATTTCTTTTTGGATTATCCAAACAGGAAAATACATTCATTTTCAAGTTATATATAGATTAGTTATAAATATATATTTCAAACTAGTCCATAAATATAGTGACGGAAAAAAACGCAACATTTTCTGGAATGAGAATACTATAGTTATAGTATATGTATTTTCACAAAAAGTTGTCAATTTGTTATAAGCCCTCTGACCACCAATACAGCTTGTGCAGTGAGGCATTGCAACTTGAAAGCTCATTAGGTGCACTTTTACCCAACAAGGTCAAGGTGGAACAGGTCCAGGTGGAACAATGCCTGATCAGGTCACCTTTAAAAAGGCCTTAATTCAAAGCTTAGGTCACTGCAAGAAGAAGGCCACACTTTTCTGTGCATTCCTTAATGCCTTGAATGTCACCAGAAGCAAGGGAGAGGGACATTGTCATACTGCAGGCAGGCCTGACATTTGCTAGACACAATGCCTGCATCAGTGACAGGACAGTGAGACTCCATGCTGCTGGCCTTAGAGCAAGACCTGTCAGAGGCCCTCTGCTCTCACCTCCTAGACGTCACACCCGACTGGGTTGGGCCAGACAGAGGCTGTGATGGACTTGACAGCAGTGGCATCAGGTTCTCTTCCTGGATGAGTTACTCTTCAGCCTGTTCCACCCAGACAGGAGGGCCAGAGTGTGGAGGAGGGGGTGTTGTGTTTTTTTTTCCATCAGTATATTTATAACAACTCTACTATATATTGTTTACATTAGACAAAAATATAATTATATTTAATTTACATAATAATTGTCTGTTTTTCTTTTACTTTTTGTTTTGCCTGTGTGATACACACTTAAAAAATTCAGCTTTTAAAATATATTTTGTTATGTCTCCGTTCATTTCTTCAAACTTTCTCCAGTAAAGTGACCGCTGTTATGGTTATCTGCCAGCAGGTAGCGAACTCAGTGCTGCTTTTCACCCAGAGGCTTAAGTATCAATTAGGAAAAAGACATGATGGTACAGTAAATGCTTTGGGAAGCACAGTGACACAGTGCTTAGCATTGCCACCTTGCAGCACTGGGGCCCTGACTTCAGTTCCAGACATGGTCTCCTTGTGTTCGGTTGGGTTTCCTCTGGGTGTTCAGGATTCGTCCCACTGTCTAAAGATATGCTGGTAGGTGAATTGGCTTATGGGTGAATTGTACCTGGGGAGAATGTACTGTACTGTATGTGCATGTCTGTGTCTGTGTTTGTGATGGACTGGAGTTCTGTCCAGGGTGTCTCTTACACTACACAATTCTTTACTGGATACAGCTAAAAGAGCATAATAAAGATAAAGTTAAAAAATGAACGGACCCCCAAATCATTTAGGAAAAAGACATAAAAGTTCTATTGTGGTGAAGTATATCAGTGTAAGTAAAGAAATTCTTGCACATTTACAGAAACCTAAATAAATTGCAGTTCTTTTCATGAGTCCAGCATTTGTACATGAAAATCTTTGTCTTTCTATTTATTAATCCATAGTGATTATTTTGTAATGCAACTTTGTAGGACCTGTAGGACTGTGTTATAGACAAAAGTCTCAAAGAAAGCAGAAAACAGTTAAATTAAAACAGCCCTGTAGCCTGAGCACCAATACCTTGCTTAACTGTTCTCAAAGCTTAATTTAGATGCGTCCCCTCCTGATTTGAAACTCAGTTGCCATAGCAATGTTTTAAAAAACAAAGAAATAAGTGTTCAAGGGCAGTATCTACAGAGTTCAAGCATTTCATAAAAAACTCCTTGACCAGTTGTGGGTGTACAATGACTATTTATTTTCCAAAGAAATAAAATTATACAGTACATGAATCAAAGCAGCAATTTTGAGAATTACTTGCCCTTCCCTCTTCATATTATTATTCATATACAGAACTTGTACCATTCAAGTTTTTTTTAAATTACTGTACATTAAATTAACAATCTGACAAATTCCTTTGTGTTTCTTCCCCTTTTTCTAGTTTTAACGTCATTGCCCATTCTTTACATCCACTTCGCAATACATACTTCATGAGTTTACAGTATGTGTAAGGTGGGCAGCAAATGGAAAAAGGAGGTTGAACTTAAATATGAACGCTAAATGGAAGAAAGGAAGAGACAAGCTCCCACTGAGGAAACAGTACTTTTTGACACAGCTTTGGTAAGCAACACAATATCCACAGGGTATGACTGAGGGTGTCTGGGAGGAAGCAATGTGTGGGCACTGCTGGGAGGTGATTCAACAGTTTCACTGTCTCCAGCTTACAAGACATCTGTGGGACAGGCTGCTCATACAGAGCGGCACAGTTCCATGGCTATAAAGGACTGTCATAGATGGTCCCTGGGTAATGCAACACTCCTCGAAAGTATTTTGACACCATCTTTTTCTGGCAGTTCTAAGTCCAAATGAGCATGTCGCAGGGCTGAGCTACGGAGAGGCTGAAATACAGTATTAGCCAATCTGCTGCTAGGATCTGTCAATAGGATCACTGGGTGGTGATTAAGTAATTAATTAGATAATTGATGGTGGTTG